CCTTTTCGACGAAACATTCCCCACTCGCACCGACGTTTTACAAAACACTCCACAAACATACCACCGGTGGATGAAAACGAATCGACGTTCATATCCAAACATGAATGATGTCAGAGTGCATGTCTTCTGTGTGCGTATGCAAATCGATTGGCCAACACACACACGCACACAGGTTTACTACGGAGATATGGATTGGCGAGTGACCTGCGCGGAGTGGTGACCGTGTTTAGGAGTACTCCGCAACTCCGCAGCGCGTTGTCAATAGAGGCTAGGTAAACAGTCGCACGGAGGCTATGAATAGCATTAGCATAATATGACATTGGCTGATCATCAACACATGTTCAACATGCCACTTGTGCGCCTATATGTATATTAATGTATGCTAATATGTCAATATCTTGTACCCCGGTGTTCAATTATTGCCGAATAAGGTGGTAATGTTTGACGGAGTGCGTAAATCCATTAAAATGTTTCCTTGTAATTGTGTATTTTGTATTGTTTGTAAACGCTAAAAACTGGTGGACTAAACATTATTTAATGCTGTTAGGTTGATAACATAAAGGTGCTTACGTTATTGGAACAATAGTTTTAATTTTTTTTCCTTCCTCCCTCTACATTTTCTTACCACACTCACAGCATGAATGGATTAGGTAAACGAACATCAATCTCAATAAGCAGTATTTCATTCTACACATAATTTTGATTAATTTCTCACAACTATTTTATATAACACGTATCAATTTCTTGTACATGATTTGTATTTCCTAATTTGCCACTATGAAATCGTAACCCCTCATTTTTTACCACACCCATAGTTGTGTATTTTAAACAAGATGTGTATATAATGGGGTTATGAACTATGTCGCCTTGGTAATGACCATCGATTATAACTGTTTGTTATATATCGATGACACTAACTAATACCTATCCTTTTCTTAAGCTAGAACTAATTATTGACATGAAAGAACAGCTGGTCTCAGTTCAAAACCATAACAAAGCAGAAGCAGTATCGAACCGAGAATATTCAGACTTTAATGCTTCAGTCACTCAGATGTTTTCATTTTACATAATATGCATCGCTATATTTTATCATAAAAAACATTAAATATAGACTGTCAGCCTTGCTGTGGTTACAATGATTACCATAGGTTCTGGCGCACACCGTTGGGAGCGCCGTGTAGTTACGTAGCGCGTATGCCGTAACTACATGGCACTCCTGGTGGTGTGCGCCAGAACCTATGGTAACCACAGCACGGCTGACGGTCTATATTTAATTCTTTTTGTCTATGATTCTATTCACCTGAATAATATATTTCAAGCTGAGTTTTTAACAAACACAAATGTTTGACAATTAAACCCAAAGCACTTGACCCACATTAGGAACCAGCCCAAACAAAGACCAAGTCACTGCAAGCATTACGTATTGTTTTGAGTTACAAGATAACCTGGGTTAGTTACATGCATTACAAGCTGCAGGTAAGACCCTGGCTGCTTTGTGCCGTAATGGCAGGGAACAAAGCAGCCGGGGAACAAAGATTCATCTTACTAATGGCGACTCTGCAGCATTGTTGTTCTAAAGCACTGCCGACTCTTGACGTACGCTATTGAGTTGTATCCGTTTTATTGTAGGTAAAAGAGAATGGTAAATTGCCCTAAAGTATGCTCTTGAAATGTTCTGGTTTGTACGGTAAAGCTGTTCTAGGGCGAGTTAATGTAAAATATAAAAAGTGTTATTAACATTTTGTGAACAATGTTGGCTTGATGATAGCATAGCAAATATACTTAACAATACATAGAAACACAAACATTATATTTTCCTGTAACAACGGTTGTATCTGTTTACAAGTAAATTAATAAATATACACATATTTGTCCTCAACATTTTTGTTTATGAAATTTATGCACGTATGATTTCTACGTAATGCATAAACAATAATCCCAGGTTAAGCCTTGAAAGACGACAGTTTGTTTAGGATCGTCCGTGTTCCAATAACCCAAGATCCACACAGGTAATCCAATGTCAAAACCCTGAGGCAAAATATGTACTTCAAAACATTTTTAGAACTAAACGGTAAATAACGCAGTTTACTTTTACTTTAATTTTTTATTTTTACTTTTACTTTAGATAGTTTGGTATTTTTTATCGTTTAGTGATGGAATAGTTATCAACTAATTAATAACCATCATCGAACAAAAAACATATTAACCTTTTTGGAACTATACACAATTCACCACACAATTTTTGTAAGTATAACAATTTACTATTGAAAAGGGAAACAGTCACTTTTTTAACTAGGACCTCTCATTGATTCATATTAAGGCAAAAACTGTTTAATTTATTGGTTAGTTATTTCATCACTATATAATTTGATTTTACATACATTTTGTTTGATTTCGTTAATTGTTCCCAACCCAACAGTAGTTTTTCAAACTTTCTTGCTAAGCTTAATGCTGAAAGTTGCAAATATTCTTTTTTATTTTTATCGAAGTCATTGGAATTTTTACGTTTTTTTGTATGATAATGTTAAGGCCCTCTCATTACTAACATTTTGACAGTTTGTGAAGCAGCATCACAAATCGATATATCGACCATCATTAATCGATATATCGAAAACCATTACCGATAAATCGATCATCATTAACCGATATTTCAATCCTCATTAATTGATTTATTGATAATTATTAACCGACATATCGATCATAATTAACCGACATTTCGATCATCGTTAATCAATATATTTATGATAAATTATTGGTCCAGAATTGACCTCGCTTGGAATCGAACCAGCGACCTCAAGATTTGAAGGATGCATTCTTCTATTGACGACTGTGACCTGATGACGTCTCACGGTTGACACTCGCTGGTATGAAACTGTTTATTTTTCTCTCTGCCAATCAGATGTCACTACTGTCGCATCCACAGTTTGGAGACGCCATATTTTATTCACTGACAATTCTGACAGCGTCAAGTGGAGATACATTTATTGGAATTCCGATATGAATTGAAAATGTATTAAATAATGCGACTGAAATTACCTCGCTCGTTGAAAATCGTTGCAGTTGAGGATAATTGATTTTTATACAGCTTTTACTGGTAAAATGTTTAAATCATCTTTGTTAACTTGTATAATATTAAAAGTGATAGTGCTAGATTACGTGTAGAATTGTCTTAACGTTATTTCATTGGATATGTATAAATATTACATTGAGATCATTAAGTAATTTCTATTTTCTTTCGTTGAATACAAATGCAACACGAAAGGAAAACCCCATTTAGCCTATTAACTTCAAAATCGGTAATTCTGAGCAATTACTTGGTCAACCCCAATTTTTTTCATACTTTACTACGGTCATCAGGATGTTCTTATAAAACAAGAAACATATAATTTAAGCCCCGCAAGGCCATCGTACAGGTTGCAGAATGATAAGAACTTTCAAATTCCAAGCGATAACAGTGGCTTGCAGGAGTCGCGCGGAAGGCCAGTTGGCCAGGAGACTCGGATGTCGGATGAGGACGAAGAACCCGGCGATTACTGAGGTAATTTCTATTTGTATATAACATATATTAACTTTCCCTGGCTGAATAATGTTTTTTTTTTAGTTTCACATACATCTCTAAAGCCAGTTGCGACAGTACCGTTATGTATGGTTAGGTTAGGTTAGGTAAGGTTAGGTTAATTCATAACCTAACTTAACCTAACCTAACCTAACTTAACCTTGCGGGGCTTAAATTATATGTTTATTGTTTTCTAAGAACATCCTGATGACCGTAGTAAAGTATGAATAAAACTGGGGTTGACCAAGTAATTGCTCAGAATTACCTCAAAATCTTTTTGGCTGAAGACAGCCTAGTTCTAGAACTGTTTCAGTGGTCCTCCTATCTAATGAAGTGCCACAATCATGTTGTGTTAGGTGAAATTCTAACCATAGCTTATTTATGTATGAGTTCAAATTAAGTCTTAAAGCCTAAAAAATATTTGTATTTATTGTTAGCATATTTTAATACAAATCTAATTTGCGAATATTGCAATAAAAATATTACCTGCGAATTATCCCTTACCCCATACCTCATACACTTTTTTATCATTACCAACCTCACCAACCAAAAATAAATTTTTACTTTTCTGATATATATATATATACATATATATATATATACATATATATATATATATATATATATATACTTGTATATATATATACTTGTATATATATTTGTATATATATATATATATAAGAATCTTACTGCGCCAACCTACCACACTAACCGACGAATTTTCAACTATTTCAATTTCTCGATTTGTAGTGATGAAATAGATGTAAATTTCCATTATGGGTCTATAGGGAGAGATAGGGCGCCGTTTGCGGGCCCTGGCTCGTAATGTAGTGATAACAATTCCCCAGTCGGCGGGGAGCAGCGCGGCTGCATGAATCATACCCACTCGCACTACTTTGTTCACGATGAGAAACACTTTCGTGTTTTATCTCCTCATTTTCTCAAGATTACTATTCTGAACCATTTCAACTCCTGCTCTAATATAAAAACAGTCGATGTCCATTTTTATTTATGATTGGTGACTGGGTTGAAATATCATAGTCGGAGAGTTAAATGTTGATAATGTAATTGTGAAAAATGTAAGCCTGAAAGGGTTATTTGCTAAGTGATGAATATTATTTTTTATTAATTGTTATTTTATTTGCATTGCATAGCTTGTATTGTTTACAACAGACTTGATCTTGTAAAGCAACACACTTTCAAAAGATATCTTTGGGATTTCACCTTAGATTATGACCTCATTGTTTTTAATAAATAATGGAAAACACGTAAATGAGAACAAATCATACAAATAAAAAGTTGTGTATATTAAGTTAGTGTTGGACGAAGCTTGACTAACCTATTTCAATTTTACACCAAAACCTTAGACAAATAAAAACTGATAAAGTTCTATATCAGCGAGAGTTGTAAAAACACTAAGTTATCGATGTTTTTGTTTTTGCAGACCGAGATTATTTCGCTGTCACTCAAGAGGTGAGTAGATAATTTATGTTTATTAAAATAAGAATTAACGTTGAAATTAATTTCCTGAATAATTAACAATGTATAATACCAGTTCGATATTCCAAAAATTCCAGTAATTTGCCTATATAATTTTGAAATTTCATAATATTAACTGCAATAATGTTACGATTCGTGTAAAGTGTGAAATCGGGAACGATGTGAGTAAATGAATATATATTACATAAAATTTGAATTTACAATTTGAATTTACAGCGTTATAAATTATTTATCCTTTGCCATCGGATTTCCCAGCTCACTTTTCATTGATAAGGTGAAACGTTTTCATAGCCTGGCAGTTTATTGTTTTACTTGTCTGCATTTTAGAGGCCATAAATATATTTTGCACGCTATTTTTGAAGCTGCAAAACAGTAAAATGTCTCTTTCAAGGAATGTAAAAAAAAACTAGTTTTATTTAGTTTAAAGTTAATCGTTTCACTCGAAAAATTACTTCTATTGAACCTTACTGGTCACAAACCAATATATATTTTATTTAATAATATTAATTTACTTTGTATCTTATAGATTGACAAAGGTAAACTAACGAAACTTAATAAATATGGATAATTTCTACTATATTATGCATGCACAAATTAAAACTACCAGTGCTTTTACAAGTAGAACATAATATTTGCACTACGCACTATTTTACAAACAAAAAGTATACAAAACTCAAACTTCCTTCAACATTTGAAACGTGTTTCTTATAATAATAGCTCTCACCTATCAAAGATGAATAATTTATTTCTTCAGAATAGCCTGCGTTAATATAAGTAACTGTGAAGTATTTGTCAGCATTTGGTAGCATCACGTCATTTCATTTGTCATCATTTTGCAGCTCCGGTGCAATTTCCGTTGCTAAACACTCTTGTATTCGCTACATTTTTACCGTCTCACGAACTATTTATTGAAATATTCTTACAACACATCTTCGTTTACAATGTGATGGTTTCTTCAAATACTACTTTTATAAATATTTTTTGTAATTGTTAACTTTTACAGGGTGCAAGTGACGAGACTTATATAATATACTATAAAACGTTACATTATTCATAATATTTTTTATGAAACAGTTTTAATCCTCTTAAGAGAAGAAAACACTTAAATATGTGATTCATTTTGAATTATCTCTGCTTCTCAATTTTTAACGTGCAATGTAATACCCTTTTTACAATTTTAGTTATTTACACGTATTACTTACCTCATACTGTATAGTTATCTACAGTTCGTCCTACATTTAATTTGAGTTACAATACTTGATAATTGTCATTAAAACACACTACGAACATTATAATGTGAAAGTTAATTATAAAAACAGATGCTTCAAACATCTTAAATTGGTATATAAAATTGGTATTTTTTCTATGAATGTAAAAAAAATTATTGAAATTACAGACTTTTTCATATTAAAATTTTGTTATTGGTTGTCTAGCTCTAAATAAAACCACATCATAATAGATTTACATCTCAACATTTCAAAATTTTTAATCAAAAGTTTAATCAATTTAATCAATTTCGAACTAAAAGTTGAAATCCACATGTTGACATCCCCCAGTTACCCAGTTTGACTGATTGATTCCCAATACTACCCTTGAGCTGGTCCCAGTACAATGTGGGCCCCGACAGAGGCACTTATAAAACCATTAACCCTGCTTGTTTATTCCACCCACGGAGCCCCCCCTCCACCCCCCCCCCCAAGGTTGATTAGGAAATCTTCTAATACCTGAGTGTATTCAGGAACACAAGGTCTTGAATGAAAAAACTCCTCAATCTGGTTTCAAGCTACTTAAAGCTAATATTTTTTTGATCACGACTTTTGATACTAAAAAATCTCCACATTGTACAGCTTTTTAAAAGATATTAGCGATAAAACTTAATTTTACAGATATGAAATTGAGGGCTAAAACATAAAATTAGTGTTATAAAGCAGTTAGATTTTTTTATTTAGATGACCTATTGTCACATTATTTTTTTATTTCGTGTTTTTGTGCCGTTGGGATATTTGTAAACATTTTTGTATGGCCCAAACTAACGTCGACCTTTTTTAGATATAATCATTATTTGGTAGCCTAATGGCATCTGAGTCATAAAACTATTTCGCTTAAACTTGAACCAGCAACCTTTTAATTTGAACTATAACCACTAAATAACTCTTATAACTATTTAAATATACATTTTAGTTTTCGATTTCATTAATTTTTTACCAAAGCAATTTTGTTTGCTGAAATATATTTTTTTTAATATCCACTTATGATTTCAAATTACTTATATACACCAACGATTAATTATGACTTGAACATTTACAAGCTAGTGTTAATTTCAAAACCCAAACCGTGTATACCTGTTTACAAAGCAGGCGAGGGCAAAGGCTAAACACAAGAAGCCATAGGAATGCGAGACTGGCAAACAGAATTAGGCGAATTTGATAACCCTGGGGAAGTCATATCCTCCCGCCTTGCTAAAGTAAAGAAACCACGCTTGTTCTATGTAAAACGTAATATACTTGTGAGCTTAAACAAGCAAAATACATGCGAAAATATTTGGAAAGTATCTTTTCAGTTTTCTTACAAAATTTAGAAGTGTTATAAAATATCATTATGTAAATAAGTAAGTAAATTTATTATTGAAATACTTATTTAAAAAATAATAAGTTTCCAATAATTAGGTTGGGTTTTTTTATTTTGTAACACACATACCTAAAAAAATGTTAACCAATACTTTAAACAAAAATGTCTCTATTTATTAGAGCGGTAAAAATCGTAGTTGTTGAATAAAAAAGTTAGTTAATGTTTTCTGAAAATCTTCCTATATAAAGATATGCATGAAATTTTAATACGTGGTACCTATATATTCGTTAAACCATTAGTAAATTAAGTTTTTCAATTGAAAAATTTAATTTTAAGCTTTGTCGTCTACCAAAAAAATTGTTTTCCAATGAATATTTTAAACCTTTTTTAACATATGATGAACGAAATCATAAAAGTTATGTCAGTGAATGGAAAATTACTTAAAAACTATGCCTCAAGAACACCTTATAGAAACAAACATTTCAATTCAATAGCTTTAAAAAACCACACTAAGGCAGATTATTTCTAACTGAATTAAATAAAGTTGCACGAAAAGAGGTGTTTTGATCCTTTGCTCACACGCGTTACGGATCACTAGGGATGATTCCAGGAAATTCAGGACATGTCGCGACAGCTGTGGACTTTACCGATCGCAAATCACCCCTTAGTGCGGTACAGGATCTTTTCTCCCTTTGGCCTTTCAACTCATACATCGTACTGAACTCGGTCGACGGATGTCGTTTTTATTTTTGAGCTACTACCTGCAAAGAATGTCTTTTTGTCAAATCCTAAGGATTTGTAAACATAATGCGTTGTATTTAACTTGACTCCCACTGTTAATCTGAATTATGTGTTTGTACATGCCTGCCATAATGTCCAAATATAACACATAAATTTACAACAAAATTGCACATAATTTTTCTTGCACACACATCTCGATGTATTTTGAAATTATATTTGCTATCAGCAACTATACTATACAATGTGTTCCATGCACTGGTGTCATTATCTTACTAGTAAAAAAAATTGTACACTAGCAAACCACTTCTTCGGTGAAGAAAACGTTGTCTTTGAAACAAAGTAAGCTTTTTGTTTACCTTTAGAATTTTTTTTAAAAGGTCTTTTAATTCAAATACTAGAGTTTTTCCAGTTTTCTTAGTGTATTAATACTAAATGATTATTTAACAACATCAACTGAGTTGAGCTGGACTTTATATCATTTTTCATTGTTTAGTAGGATAAATTCAATGCATTAAGTGAACAAGTCTCGCCATTTCCCCAACTCTTAACGGTAAAATATGTGACTAGTTTTTCCACCCTCTTTAAGTCGTCCTGGTACACCCTCCCCTCGGGAATTCCTCCTGGGGGATCGGAAGGACTGACATAAGATTAAACTGACTGAACTTCGTTACTCTCCCCTTCTGAAGTAGTCTTTGATGACAAACGCGTGCTGCTATGTCAAAACTTGATCTAACTTGTGACTAAAGTTTGTGTTCCGGAAAACGCAAATGAACTCTTATTGCTTCCCAAATGTCTTTAATTGTTGGATGAGAAAGAGAAGATAAGAGTTGGAAAGTTTCGTAGGAAATGTTTAAGCTTAGACTTGGTTTATATGTTTGGTTAGAAATCGTAAGTAGAGTTAGCTTTTGTAATACAGAATATCTGATTGCATTTAGTAAGTTTGAATATGTTTCGGTATATTTATCATAGAGTATTTGTTTTCTAGTCTAATTATACGCCTAAAACTTATCTTTATAACACTATTTTTGATACCTTTATGAGAAGTTATTTACCATGGGGTTTATTCATTGACTAAATTCAATTTTGTAAAATTTATTTTGGTGGCATGCGTATTTATGCTCTAATTGTTGCAACGAAGGTTTTCATAGGTGGTCAAATGTTCAATTTGTTAAACATTACACAAAAACCGACTATTTAGTTTTTGAGTAAACAACTGACTGGTTTATCAGTAATATTCCTCTCGTACTTGTTTGGATCCAAAAAACTATACCCTGAATTACTATCACTTATCTATCAATATATTACACATAATTTAGGCAACAATCTACTTATTACTAATCTTGAAATTAAAATCAGCAGATTTTTTAGATAGATGATCTGTTTAGAGTTGAAACTTGCTCTTAACAGCAGGTAGGTTTGGTCGAAATAGCGATTGGAATGATGGAGCGAACTAGCTCTCAGCTGTGCGAGTGAAATGAACACAGTCAAAGCCGTGGTTATCCGACTCACCGATAATGGCTGAAACTGCCAATGCTGTCAATACATCTCCATTCGGAAATAAACAACTTTTTATTACAACTGTTGGTATTTTAAACTAAAGATTTTATAGGTAAAAGTCGATGTTAATAAACTATTTCTAGACTCATTTTCAAAATCTCATTTAT